CAGTGTTTTAATAGGTAAATTTAAGCCATTCATATTAATCATCATAACTGGAATGTTTAGTTATATTTATACCATCTTATTTTGTTTTCTGTTTATTGTTTCTATTTCTGTATTATTTTCTTTGTTCTTTTTCTTCTAATTACTTAGAACCCAAGTTTTATTTATATTCTGCTAGTGTTTACCTTTTTCTCCAATTTTTAAAAATCTGTTATTCTGCTAGTGTTTACCTTTTTCTCCAATTTTTAAAAATCTGTTATTCTGCTAGTGTTCATATACATGTTTTGTGTACAACAAACATATATATATATGCATACAATATATGTGTATGAACTTATAATATAATTTTACACCTTTATTCTACCCCCATATCCTAGATTTTGTTTAATCTAAGTTTAAATTTTATATTATTACTAAAATTTTTGGTTATGACATCTGAAATACCTTTTAATTTTGCTGGGGATAGGTTTTCAATGATCTAATCCCTTTACCTCAGAACTCTGTAAAATTACCCCATTTTTTTCAACTTCCATTCAATGTTGCAAGTGAGACCTTCAAAACCAATCTGATTCCTTTGTAGGTAACTAGATTTTTCTTTTAGATGCTTGTAAGCATTTCTTATTGTTCTTTGAATTTAGAAATATCATCAGAAAATGTCTATATGTGACTTTGCTGGTTTGTTTGTTTAATCCTGCCTGGAACTTAGTTAGCCATTATAATCTGAAGACCAAAGTTCTCCTTCAAATGAAGAAAAGTTTTCCTCTGTGAGTTATTTAATTATTGCTTTTTCATCTGCTCTGTTTTCTCCATAGGGAATGGTGTATGTTCATTGTCTTTCTCCTGGCACTATTCTCATTTGAATTCTGGACTTCTTGATTTGGTCTTCCGCTGACTTACTTGACTTTCTGCAGTATCAGTTTTACTGTTCGCTGTCCCTATAAGTTTCACTTCGGCAATTAAGTTTTTCACAGCTAAGGATTTTCTTATTCTGGGATTGGTCCCTTTCCACAATCACCTGCCCTTGTTAACTAATGCAGTATCCTTTTGAATTTCACTGAGCAACTTCAAACTGTATGAACACATCTTTTAGAATATCTACTCTTCCCTGTAGAAATTCCACTGGAGACTGCCATGCTGAGGAGTTTGTACTCAGTCCTTACAGGAATGACATAATTAGTTCTGCATTTTAGAAAAATCATAAAGGCCTTGGTAGAATAGTTCATAGGGACGCAGTACTAGAGATAAGAAGTCCAGTTAGGAGGCCCTGACAGTAATTTAGATGAAAATTGTGATGTACTGATAGTGCAGATTGGAAGTCAGATTCAACTTTTAAGGATATTTGGTAAAAAATAAA